GTTTATGCATGCGTTCGCAAAAAACGCATAAATGCTACGCGTAGTCACTCCGCGTCGTGAGATTATGCGGCGTGCAGCAGTCATTACGCGTACACGTGCGCGTGCACGCGTGACCGTTATAAGTCAATGCGGAAACTACATGACACGTCAGGCGTTGCTTTGCGGCACAGGCGTCAAAGCACGCGCATGTGACACGTTCAGTCAATAGCTGCGCACGTATATTGAAACGTATGGTACTCCATAGTGTTTATGTGTGTGTGTGTGTGTGTGTGTGTGTGTGTGTGTGCGCACCCTCGTGAAATTCCTGGCCTGCAATGTACTATACTATACTATATCGTTTCTACCATTTTTTTCCCCCATGAAAGGGGTTTTTGGGGGGAATTTTTCCTTATCTGCTGTGAGGGTCCAAAGGACAGAGGGATGTCTTATGCTGTAAAGCCCTGTGAGGCAAATTGTGATTTGTGATATTGGACTTTATAAATAAAATTGATTGATTGATATACAACCCTTATCTTATTCAGTAAATCTACACTGTGCTGGAGAAGCGTTGATAAATTCAATAGGGTGAGCAGCACAAACAGAGCTTGGGAGTCTGTCATTGTTGTTGTGATGGTCGACTTTCTCGTGCATGCCTAGTGACTGGAACCGTAATTTCGCATTGCGAAAAGTCTCCGTTTTCAGAGGAACTGCATATTACAAGTTTATGTGACAACGGAGACGGTGCCATTTCCAAAAAATTGCACTCTGGAACCGTTTTCAAAACATTGCATTTTCAGGCACCCAAAACGCGGCTGTCGTGTACATGATCAGTCAAAACGCAACTTAAGTTTACCGTTTTCAGTTGAAGTCTTTGTTGTATAAACAGGACCTTAAAGTTCAGTTCTCTTAGAAAATTGTGGCTGAGACCGCATGTTCTTTGTTCATCAAACAAAGGACAGACATTTGGCACACTCATCTCCATGGGATGCCTCACTTGTGACACCTCAGTGAGAGTCCTGCCCATGGACCTGGTTTTTAAAGTTGATCGGGCACCACTGTGTCGTATGACCCCCCTGGAAGGTCACCAAGTCAGCTTAGGGAGAAGCTTTTGCTTTCCATTTGAGTCTTGCTCCTTGACCTTGACAGAAGTAGGACTCCAGGCAGGGGGACCTGCTCTGCCCTTTCCTAGTTTTCTCACCTCTGCATGCTCACAGCAGGAGCTGCAGCTTTGCTCTCAATGTGGGCTGCTCCCAGCAGACACAGAACCAGAAGACCAGAGAAGTTAGTGCACTGGGCAGACAAAGTCTGCAAACAAACTTTTCCAGCAACAAGAAGAAACAAGTCAAGTTAGCACCAAACTGCTAATTCTGTAAGGAAACAGAGTGCACTGACTCCTCTGCACCTTTGGAACGAGAACAGAGCAAGGACTGCATCTGGATCCACAGTTCTTTCCAGCTTTCATCCACAACAGACAACTGCCGGGTAACATGCAGCACAAAGCAACTCTTCCTCCATTCAAGGATTGATAACGTAACAACCAGGGACGGTTTTTATTATGGGGCGAAATCTATGTGAGGGCGCACGAGCGCCTCCAAAAAAAAAAATAAAAAACTCGCCAGTTTTCTAGACTACCACTCATTTCCACGTCATTGTTTGTACTTCCATTATTGGTTAGTTGGTGTCAGGTTGCTAATGCTTTACCCGGATTGACTCTTGAATGCAACAGAACATCCTCTTAACTAGGGCCGTAACGGTACATGTATTTGTGTCGAACCGTTCGGTACGCGACTTTCGGTTCAGCACAACCCTGTACCGAATTATTGGGCGCAGGATATTATTCTATTTTATTTTGTTTTATTTTAATTCCGTTTTTGCGAGCCGTACCATTTAAAATATCTAGTTCCCCGACGGACATAATTGAGTGACGGACCGAGTCCGACCGTAAATCTCCGCTTTCACTTTGTGCAGCGCATTCTCGCATTTTGACAACATGGCAAGTGAGCCTGATGAGCCTGAAGACCCACCCGCAAACCTTAAGTCCTCCGTTTGGGAACACTTTGGTTTCAGGGTAAAATACGAAGATGGAAATAAACAAGTTGACAAGACAAAAGCAGTGTGCCGACACTGCAGAACAGCGGTCGGGTATGTACTTGGAAACACGTCTAACATGCTAACGCATCTAAAGCGACACCACCCGCGTTTGAACGTTAACCGGCACAACTAGAAAAAGCAATCTGGTGCAAACTATGATATCATTGTCGTTTAAAAAGAAAGAGCGTTTCCCTGACCATCGCGCTAAAGAAATAACCAACGCCATTGGAGGTGAGTAAAATTGTTTAAGCTGCACTTTAGATATAAGCATGTTTTGTTTACTGCACTTTAACAAAGTGGGAAAGCTAAGTAAGTTCCTAGTAAAACTGAATCTGAGCAGGCTTTAAGGCTGATCAGCTGCACTATACTTTTTATTTTAATTGAGTAAAACTGTTAAAGCAGAAATGTATATTTCTATTTTCATTCAAACAATGTGAAAAAGCAGGATTTTATATATATTTGTTTCATTCAAAAATTGTGTAAAAAGAGTTAACTGCTGTGGTGGTATGTTTTAATAAGGTTACCAATAAGTAAAAGATATTTAATAGTTGTCTATTTTTTTCATTACTGTACCGAAAAAAACAGAACCGTGACTTGTGTACCGAGGTACGTACCGAACCGAGATTTTTGTGTACCGTTACACCCCTACTCTTAACCCAGACCCTTTTACAACATATATCACATACACATATACTCACAAGGAATTGGCTTTCAACATGACTACTCTTTAAGAGGAAATTCAAAGTTCCCGCTACTTTTCTTTTTCCATTGTCTGACTGTCTCCAAGGTCGTTTTTGATTCCGTCATCTTTGATCAGGCCAAGCCATTTGTAGTTTTCTGTCGTCAGCCATGTTGTTTTTATAAAAACCCATGTATATAGAGACTAGTTAGAATTTATTTGTTTTGTTTTGCTTTGCTTTGCTTTATTTGTAAATACATGTTTTTGGAATCATGCCTGTTTATTTAATATTGCACAAGAGTGGATGAATTGTGAACTACTGTGTCAAGAACTTCCAAATCCTTCAACCTTTACTATTAATATGGTAATTTTAGTAATTTATTCAGAGTTCCAAATTGATAGCTCATTGTATTTTATGAGATGCCATTAATGCTGTTTATTGAGTCATTGTTTTGATTGTTTGCATTTAGGTCATTGGTTGGTCATTGGTCATTAGGTCATGTTTAGTTTGCTGATGCTTTTCACAGACTCACAGATAGAACTAAACATCCTCTGCACTAATCCAGATCCTTTGCAACACATATCACATTCACATAGACTCACTTACAAATTGGCTTTCAACCTAGCTACACCCAGAGAGGAAGCTCAAAGTTCCCGCTTCTTTTCCTGTCTTTGTTCTGACCACACAGTCAGACAAACCCTCCCCCAATCTGAAGCCAGCTTTGATCCAGCCATCTTGTAGTTCTCAGTTGTCAGCCATTTCTCTCTCTCTCTCTCTCTCTCTCTCTCTCTCTCTCTCTCTCTCACACACATACATACATACATACATACATACACACATCAAGCTTGTATATAGAATCTGTGTGCTTTGTTTTGCTTTGCTTCCTTTATAAATAAATATATTTTTATAATCATACCTGCTGTCTGTTTAATGTTGCACAAGAGTGAATGAATAGTCAACCTCTACTATGTCAAGAACTCAGAAATCCTTCAAGCTTTACTATTAATGTGGTTGTGGTTTTTAATGCAGTTATTAATCAAAATTCCATATTGATAGTTTAGTGAACTTTTTGAGACTAATATCACTAATTGGCTATCATTTTTCCCTTTTTGGGAATGGTGCCCCACGAGGTGATTTAATGGCAATTAAGTCATATTATTCAACATTATTAATGATTATTAATTATTTCTGATAGCCATGTTTATACTTCAATTGGAGATCTATTACGAGGTTAGGCCCTTCGTGAGGCTTAGTCCCAACAAATGGCGCCGCCGTGTAAAACATTGTATTGTTATAGATTTCCAACAAATAGTATCCCCGCTTTATATAATACCAGTAGATTCCCTACAACTGTATACATGCAGGAGGAATTCGACTCTCAGTCGCATTATCAGTGTTAGTCTGACTTTGAGAAATTCGATTTAGTATGATTTCAGTAGTACTAACATGTTTACATGTATTTTAAAAGTCCAAAGGGTTTTAGTGAGACTAACACAATAAATCAATTTTCTCTAACGTCATATTAACATACTGTATGTGTTAGCCCTCTGATAGTCTGGCAACCTGTCTAGAGTGTACCTTACCTCTCACTCAGTCTCAGCTGGGATAGGCTTCAGCCCCACTGCGACCCCTAACAGGATAAGTAGTTATGGAAATTGAATGAATGAGTGAATGTAAAAGATTTAGTGTCAGTGTAAATTAAAAAGAAAATTTGGTTCTCATTCTCAACATCTTTTTGCCTCACAACTGAAGTATAGTGACTTTGATGCTGAGAAAATGCACTAAAAAAAATCCCCAAAAAAAGAAGGAATTTGGGTTCAGAGCTGTTGTGCAACAGCTTTTATGCTTGTTGGTCATTAGACACCTCACATCACAACATCTAACATTCACAATTTTACAACCTCATGACTTTTTGGAACAGCACCCTCAGGACGCTACAGTTTTAGCTTTGTTAGTGGTAAGGCTTCAACAGCAGCTACTGTGCGAGTCCAACTCTTTTGACTTTTACCAGTAAGTAATAGGTATCATGTTACCTTGCAAAGATGGACCATGCGGTGAGGTAAACAGATCTGAATGTGGTTAAAAAAAGAGAGCTGGTATCAGATTGGTACTTGATAGGGAGGGGAAAAGTTGGATCGGTGCACACATACAGTACCAATAAAACATGAGTATCCAGTTCCCTGCGCCCTGTAAATTGCATGGTCATGAGTTTTCCTCGAAAACTAAAGCATGTTTTCTTTCCTCCTTTAGTCTCAAGAGAACAAGACTTTCCTGTCCATGATTAACAATGTGCTGACCACAGATGGCTTCTACTTCTGCACTGACTATGACCTGACACACAGTCTGCAGCGGCTGGCCAACACCAGCCCAGACTTCCAAGAGATGAGTCTGCTGGAGAGGGTGAGACATCCAATAACTTGCCTTACAAAAGTCCAACTTCCACACTCCAGTGTTGTAGGTCAGAAATGCCAAAATAGATCCTGAAACAGGTGTGCTCAGTCATTTCTGCATCACTATTGTGTTTGTGTCATGTATTCATGTCCTTGTGCACATTCTGGTAGAGCACAACATATCAACAGCATATCATTTTTTGCTCTACAGGGCAACTCAAAAACTCTAGGTTGTCAGGGGTGTCATAAGTCAGGGATACAGCAATGTTCCATTATTTTTCTTATTGTGAGCAAATCTCATAATGCAGATCTAAACCAAGTAACAATTGATCCTGTTATGATAGCTTTATTGGTATTTTAATGAATGTTCTGTAGATGTGGTTGTGGTTTAGGCAGGTGGTAGAAGGCAGGGTCAGCACTGATTTCACACTTGGGGGTTGGTGGCATTGACTCATTAGCCTCTGTCAGTGGCACCCTTTGAGAGAGCTGTGGAGGCCTTTGAGCTGGAACGGTACGCCATGAGGAAGAAGCTGGAGGCAAGACACACTGAAGGCAAAAAGAGACATAGGGCCCTATTTAGATGGTCTAAAATGCAAAGCGCCAGGCGTGCGGCGCATGGGCGTGTCCCAGTCACTTGCTAGTTAGACAGCACGTTTTCAGACTGTGCGCCATGGTGGAGAGTCTAAAAGGGTTGGACTTACTCTTACGCGATTGGAGCGCACGGCGGAGAGCTAGTTAGATGGCGGACCTGCCAACTGGAAAGAGTGAGCGTTTTACAGCTGAGGAGACGATAAATGTATCTCTATATCGACTGTCCCGTCACATCTGATGTCAGATCAAAGGGGATTGGCACCATTTGGCACGCGTAATGGAAACCCAACCTGATATGATTAACACAGCTGCAATCTAATAAGTTCACATCCCTCTCAGCCAACTACAAACAGCCACAGCATCAGATAGGGAGTATATATTCAGCATCTGTCATCTTAGAAAAGTCAAAAGAAAAGAAACAGAGTGAGACTGCGAGAGAGAAAGAGAGAGCGCGTGCGGATGAAAGAAACGCTGTCAACAAATTGTAAATTATTCAATTTATTTTATTTTAACCCGGGAGGTTAGAGAGCCCAGCTCCCTCTCCAGCATCCTGAACCCCCCCGCCTGAAGGTGCAGGAAGGGCTGGTCCTGTGGCTGCACCCGGCCCGTCTGGTCTGGCTGCGCGCTGGCTGCAGAGCTGGGGTCATCCTCCTCCTCCTCCTCCTCCTCCTCCTGACAAGATGATCTTCAGTTTTACGTTCTGTTTTTTTTTTAAAATATACATTTGTACTTGTAGGGCTATAAGTTTACATTTTTAGTTCACAGAAGCTGGTTATTGTTGTGTTTATGTCAAAATAAAGTTTATCAAACGTTTTCACATCTTTGATTTTGTGATTTACATGCCAAAATGATCACAATTCATTTGGTAAAGACAAGTTCATTTTTCAGGCTATGCATCATCAGCCCGTGGAGGTCTGTTCGCAGTTTCGTATATTCGGACACTGCGAGCTTGGACCTCCCAGATTATGATGATCATTATTACTGCGATTAGATCATTCTGATTAATGACTGACCATTAAGACGTGTTTCTGATAAATATTCTAATGTGCACAATAATAACCTTTCACATTGTAATCATATTTTTATTTGTTATCTTTTGCATATGTGTGACTGCTCCGTGTGTGTCTGAGCAGAGTGCACGCGCGTTGTGCACCCGCCTAGAGACGCATATTACTAACTTGTTTAACAGCGAAATACTGTGCCATTGACTCTAGACCAGGGCCCGTATTCACAAAGAATCCTAAGACTAAAAGTAGCTCTTAGTGACGTCATTCTAAGGAAAAATCTTAGAATTCCTCGAATTTTAAGATTTTTCCCTTGGTAAGATAAAAGTTATTCACAAAGCATCTTAGGCCTTAAGAGAGCTCCTAAGGTGAAAAACTGTTAAGAGGAGGGAGGAGGACTTTTAAGAAGCCTAAGAGTGTCTTAAACAGAGAAGATGGCGGAAAGACAGAGAGGAAGGAGAGATATTCTCCGTATATTGAACGACAGTGATTTAATAAGACGCTACCGGCTTGATCGTGCAGGGGTAATGTTTGTGGCTGACCTCATCAGGGATGAGCTTACTTTTCCCACCCAGCGTAGTAACGCAATCACGCCTGAGATGGTCATCACAACATTGCCATACCTGCTACGGGGAAAATGCAACAGTGTGTAGCAGTGATGATTTGGGTCTGTCACAACCCTCTGTCAGCAGAGTGGTCAGTCAGACCATTAGGCTACGGCACTTTAACAGCCTTGTATTGCTGCAATCTCCGCTCTCGCTTTGGATTGCAGCACGTAGGAGCGCTTCTCACACTCATCGCTTGTGCGTAAAAGGAGAGGGAACAACGCATTGATTTGTCGGGCAATGCGCTCCCAGGTCTGCCTCTTCCCTTGTGCCGTGATCCCGGGACCGAATTTCCCTCTTAAAACACATTTGTTCTCCTCCATGAGCTGTGCCAACAGCAGGAACTGCTCTTCTGTCCAGTTCGGCTTTCTCGTTCTTTTTTTCTCCATTTCATTTGTTGTTTTGGTCATTCTGCCAAATCAAACCGCTTTTTACAAGGAGGCCAGCAATCACAGTAATTGCTGACAGCTGAGTCTGCATCCACAATTAATATCAAATAGATTAAGTAGTAAAATTACCAGCATAACGAGTAAACATAACAATAAGCAAATCAATAGGCTATAAAAATCAGAGCCTACGTTCAAACATTTTGAAGTTGTGTAACAATTAATTTAATTTTGCTGAGTTTCATCATCATGACATAAAATTATTTTCACAATTACACATTTCTTAATAGCCTACAGTCTAAGTTCTATGATCGGTTGATTTCACTGTCCATTCATTACTAGGAGCGCATTTTTTATTTTTTTTTTGTAACAACCAATCACAATCACATGACTGCGTCATACCTAGCAACGGGGTCAACCACACCTCCTCACTAAGATAAACGTCTGTCCCCTCCTTGCTCAGAGTTGCTCTCAGAAACTTCCTGAATCACTCTTAAGCTAAGAGTGATTCAGGAAGTAGGAGCTCTCTGGGAGGACTCTGAGAATCTTTGTGAATACGGGCCCAGGTTTTTGTTGGTCACTGGCGCATTTGCTTTTTATGCCATCTAACTAGCAACGTGCTGTGACTGCGCCTGACCACTCCTCATTTTTAGACCAACACACCCAAAGAAGCGCAGTTCATTTGCTAGTTAGACGACGAGGGCGCAGGGCGTGGTAATGACAGCTGTGCCTGCATCTAAATAGCAATGACACTTGCGTCATGGATTATGCGTACTTCGTCGTCCGCTTTAGACCATCTAAATAGGGCCCCAAGTGTTTGACACGCACCACCATGAATTATCAATGTAAATACACCTTAGTCTGAACAACCACGCAGAGGAGCTGGCTGATAGCTAATTTGATAGATAACATCATTTACATTATGCTCTCAGATATACAGTACAGGCCAAAAGTTTGGACACACCTTCTCATTCAATGCATTTTCTTTATTTTCATGACTATTTACATTGTAGATTCTCACTGAAGGCATCAAAACTATGAATGAACACGTGGAGTTATGTACTTAACAAAAAAAGGTGAAATAACTGAAAACATGTTTTATATTCTAGTTTCTTCAAAATAGCCACCCTTTGCTCTGATTACTGCTTTGCACACTCTTGGCATTCTCTCCATCAGCTTCAAGAGGTAGTCACCTGAAATGGTTTTCCAACAGTCTTGAAGGAGTTCCCAGAGGTGTTTAGCACTTGTTGGCCCCTTTGCCTTCACTCTGCGGTCCAGCTCACCCCAAACCATCTCGATTGGGTTCAGGTCCAGTGACTGTGGAGGCCAGGTCATCTGCCGCAGCACTCCATCACTCTCCTTCTTGGTCAAATAGCCCTTACACAGCCTGGAGGTGTGTTTGGGGTCATTGTCTTGTTGAAAAATAAATGATCGTCCAACTAAACGCAAACCGGATGGGATGGCATGTCGCTGCAGGATGCTGTGGTAGCCATGCTGGTTCGGTGTGCCTTCAATTTTGAATAAATCCCCAACAGTGTCACCAGCAAAACACCCCCACACCATCACACCTCCTCCTCCATGCTTCACAGTGGGAACCAGGCATGTGGAATCCATCCGTTCACCTTTTCTGCTTCTCACAAAGACACGACGGTTGGAACCAAAGATCTCAAATTTGGACTCATCAGACCAAAGCACAGATTTCCACTGGTCTAATGTCCATTCCTTGTGTTTCTTGGCCCAAACTAATCTCTTCTGCTTGTTGCCTCTCCTTAGCAGTGGTTTCCTAGCAGCTATTTGACCATGAAGGCCTGATTTGCGCAGTCTCCTCTTAACAGTTGTTCTAGAGATGGGTCTGCTGCTAGAACTTTGTGTGGCATTCATCTGGTCTCTGATCTGAGCTGCTGTTAACTTGCAATTTCTGAGGCTGGTGACTCGGATGAACTTATCCTCAGAAGCAGAGGTGACTCTTGGTCTTCCTTTCCTGGGTCGGTCTTCATGTGTGCCAGTTTCGTTGTAACGCTTGATGGTTTTTGCGACTCCACTTGGGGACACATTTAAAGTTTTTGCAATTTTCCGGACTGACTGACCTTCATTTCTTAAAGTAATGATGGCCACTCGTTTTTCTTTAGTTAGCTGATTGGTTCTTGCCATAATATGAATTTTAACAGTTGTCCAATAGGGCTGTTGGCTGTGTATTAATCTGACTTCTGCACAACACAACTGATGGTCCCAACCCCATTGATAAAGCAAGAAATTCCACTAATTAACCCTGATAAGGCACACCTGTGAAGTGGAAACCATTTCAGGTGACTACCTCTTGAAGCTCATGGAGAGAATGCCAAGAGTGTGCAAAGCAGTAATCAGAGCAAAGGGTGGCTATTTTGAAGAAACTAGAATATAAAACATGTTTTCAGTTATTTCACCTTTTTTTGTTAAGTACATAACTCCACATGTGTTCATTCATAGTTTTGATGCCTTCAGTGAGAATCTACAATGTAAATAGTCATGAAAATAAAGAAAACGCATTGAATGAGAAGGTGTGTCCAAACTTTTGGCCTGTACTGTAAATCAGACGAGTTATTTATTTTGTGACAAACTTATTCACCATCAGAGTTTGATGATGCAGTTAAGGAAAATGATAACAGTTCAGCTAATTTGGCTCATCTTTTTAGCCAAGTAATCAAAGTGGCAAACATCTCTGTGTGCACATGCAATGTTCACACTGGTAACGTTAACTTTCCCTTAAGTTACAAGCTGCTAAAAGTCAGGCGTTCACAGTTGTGCAGATCAACACCATCGGTCATAAATGATCAATTTACTGTATACTTACTCAATACTGGTAATGGTAATCATGGAATGCACATATTTGTCAGTAAGTATTTCCATCACCAATAAGAGCACTGACCTTGATTAAGGTGTACCGAGTCTTGTGAAGTGATAGGTGATATCTGGCTGCAAATATCAAGTTAACTATCAAAGTAATCATATAAGCTCAAGCATAGGAGACATCAGATTACTGCACACCATACTAATAATGTTAATACTACTGTGACCTTGATGTAATTATTTACAATAATCCAGTTGTTTTACTAATTAATTTACTAATTTACTAATTCATTGTCAAAAACACACATACATGTATGTAAACACAAACAAGAAAACATTTAACAGCACATAAACTACAAATTTAGTGAGCATGAAATTGACTAAGTAAAATTAGCTCAGAGATAGAGTGAGTCGTCCAGTAATCAGAAGATTGGCAATTCAATCCCCAGCTCCTCCACTCCACACACACAACCCCCCCCCCCCCCCCCCCCCCCCCCCCCCCCCCCCCCCCCCCCCCCAATTGCTCCCGATGGCTGCTCCATCAGTGTGTGAGAGTGCAATGGTAAATGGACTGCACTTGTGTAGCGCCTTTCTAGTCCTCTGACCACCCAAAGCACTTTTACACTACATGTCACACTAAACTACATTCTTGGTTCGTTGGATATCCATTAAGCCCATACCAGATTTTTGGCATATTTTGACAGCTTTAACTATGAAAAATATTAGAAATTGGCATAAAGAAATTACTGACACCTAAATAAGAGATTAAACTTTCATTTTGACTGAAATGTTCTCACTTAAACTGGGACAGTATATATTAGAAATGTCTTAAAACCAGTTTTGGTGGGCTTAGGGACATTTTACCCTATATACACTCAGTTATCAGTTTATTAGTTCCACCCAGCTAAAACCAATACAGTCTAATACAACAGTCCTATTGTGGCTTAGCTGACACGCCTTTTCAGTGTCTGTGGAGTGGCAGACCAGGAGGGTGGTGGTTCCCATTTTTTGAAAAAGGGAACCAAAGGGTGTGCTCCACTGCGGTATCATACTGCTCAGCCTCCCAGGGAAGTTTATTCCAGGGTGCTGAAAAGGAAGCTTTGACCGATTGTCGAACCTTCGATTCAGCAGGAGCAATGCAGATTCCGTCCTGGTTGTGAAACATTAGACAAGTGGGTTGTTTAGATATACGGTAACTGATATGTTTTAATCATGGCTACTTAATCTAGCTAATGATGACAATGAATATGGTCATTATTATAAAGAGGCATGCATTTTCTTCTGTGCCTGATGAATAATGTGCTGACATCATGTTGCTTGTGGTTTTCAGGCAGATCAGAGGTTTGTGTGGAATGGGAACCTGTTGAGAGAACTGTCTGCGCAGCCAGAGGTTACACATACGACTGTTGATCTGTGGCATATTTGTTTTGTTTTCCCACTTATTTTATTTCATGAGAATAACTGTCATTATTTCTCCATAGCTTCATAAGTTTGCACTTCCTGTTGTCCATGGATGTATCCTTTTCATTGAATGTTCAGTATTTTTTAATTGATCATGGGACATTTTATCTGATCTACAACACACGGGGCTTGACGCTAACTTTTTTTCCCAAGGAGCACATGTGCTCCTAAGTTGAAAAAGTAAGGAGTGCACAAAGAACTTTAGGGGCACAATGTAAATTGATCAAATAATGTGTTTTCCGTAATAAACGTGATGCAAATAGACATTTACAATCAAAATTATTTAATGAATTTGTATACAAAATGTACAGAAAGGTAAAATCATCAAGTTTTGAAAAAGTATTGCAATTTAATTTTGTTTTTAATGTTATCTTATATATATTATCTTTGCAATATGATTATCTTATGTAATGTTATTACTATCCTAAAACATTCTCCAGGTCCTCTGAAACGAGGTAGGGCGCAGAGGACAGGATTTGGGGGAGTACAGGCTCGTTCAGGAGCTACAGCTCCATGGTGACCGCTTTCGGGTCTACTTCAGGCTCTTCTCTGCTATTGGACGCGCGGCGCCAAGGTGTCGTCACAGCGCGTTGCGGTGAAATTAAAAAAATTTCAATTTGAGCGCAGGCTGGCGGCGCGCAGATGCCGCGACATGCTCCCCCTCGCGCGCCGCTCAGCTCGGTGGCAAAGCGGTGCGCTTTTGCGCCGCGGTAGCACATACACAATGAATGGGTTCGTCGGCGGAGGTCTGCGCTTTGCGCGCTCTGTGTGAAAAGGGCTTTATTTCCACCCTGCCCAGCAGCGGTACCGTGGCGAACGGTCCCTAAAGGCCTCTACTCATGATCAGCTGTAAAACCGCTTTGCGCTGGCTGTCCCATTGTTTGTCTATGGAGAGGGCAGCAGCGGCACCGCTACCCGTGGCGTCGCGTACCGCTCTGATTTTCCGCCCGAGCGCTGTGCTCAGAGTTGAAATTATTTGGACTACGGGGAGAACGGAGCAGGCTTCCCCGGAGATCCACCCGGTCCATCTCCTCCACACTTAGGCTATTTCCACACTTCCGACAGTGGGACTTATATTCATTGTGCCGACAGTGGCTTGGAAGACCGCCCATAACCGTGTCACACAGGGAAGAGGGAAGGCGGCTGGAGTTCCTCCAACATTTGCGGTTAGATTATCATATTTTTTATTGACAAAAATATAGGCTGCTTCGGCTGATTATTTCATGCGCACATGTGCCCCTAAATATTTTTTACAGTTCGCACACACCTATTTTTAGTCGCAAATGCGAGTGAAATGCTTGCACTGTCGAGCCCTGCTTTAGATGAGATCAGATAAACTCCTGAACAAACCTTTCCTTGACCCTCCTGGTTCAGTCATCGTCATGAAGCCATGTCGTATAAATGGGAAGATCTTTGAGTGGATCCTCATTTCCCGTAGAAGCTGCTTCCGGGCTGGCGTCAGATACTACGTCAGAGGTAAAAAAAAAAAAAAAAAAAAAAAAAAAAACTGAAGCATGACACGGTAGCACTTTCTTTGTTGGACTGCAACAAGCAATGTGGAATTGCATATTAACTAGTGGAGAGCAAAGTAGCTGATAGCCAACACATTTTCACAAATGGTATGAAGGTACAGAAGGGTAGGGCTGCATTATATCAGGAAAAAAAGCAATATACCGTAATGTTGTTGCATATTGCAATGAAGATATGACTCGCTATGAATAAATACTGAATTACACAGTTTTATTGTCTTTCTGCTTTAGATTACCACTGCTAACAGATACCCCAGACAATGAATAGCCTCTGCACACTGAAAAAGGAAAAATGAAATGCAGGGATGTTGATAGGCTTTTAGCGTAGTCCCTGCAACCCACAGGTAGGTTTGAGTGGGTCCCCAAAAATACATAAAAAAATATTTACAATATACAAGGATGCAGTGTTGTTTGACCTGCCGCTCTGCGACTGTTTAGGGGTTCATCAAAGCGACAGCCTGGGGGAAGACACTGTCTTTGTGAGGGGTGGTTTTTGCGAACAGTGCTCTTTAGCGTCTACCGGAGGGGAGGAGTTTAAACAGATTGTGTCTGGGGTATGAGGAGTCTACACTGATGTTTTCTGCCCGTTTCCTGACCCTTGACCTGTACAGGTCCTCGATGGAGGGAATATCAGTCCCAATAATCCTCTCTGCCCACCTGATTGTCCGTTTCAGTCTGTTCCTGTCCAGTTTGGTGGCAGATCCAAACCAGACAGTGATGGATGTGCAGAGAACAGACTGGATTATGACTGTGTAGAACATGATCAGCAGTTCCTGAGGCAGGTTGAGCTTCCTGAGCTGTTGCTGGAAGTACAGCCTCTGCTGGGCCTTTTTCCGGACAGTGTCTATGTGGGAGGTCCACTTCAGGTCCTGAGAGATTGTGGTACCCAGAAACCTGAGGTGGGGCAGTGTCAGGGGGCTTCTCCTGAGGGCCACTGTCATCTCCACAGTCTTGAGCGGGTTCAGCTCCAGGTGGTTCTGACCGCACTAGAGGACCAGCTGCTCTGCCTTTTGTCTGTATGCAGACTCATCACAGTCCCGTATTAGACGGATGACTGTGGTGTCGTCTGCAAATTTCAGGAGTTTTACAGAAGGGTCCCCTGATGTGCAGTTGTTGGTATACAGGGAGAAGAGCAGTGGGGAGAAGACACACCCCTGGGGGGCACCAGTGCTGATGAACTGGGAGCTGGATGTGATGCTCCCCAGCCTTACATGCTGCCTCCTGTCAGTCAAGAAGCTGGTAATCCACTGACAGGTGGAGGCAGGCACTGTGAGCTGGATGAGCTTCTTGTGGAGTATTTCAGGGATGATGGTGTTGAAAGCCGAGCTGAAGTCCACAAACAGGATCCTTGTGTAAGTCCCTGGGGAGTCGAGGGGGTAATCCCTTTGTGTGGTTGAAACTTGTGAAAAGGGCCTTTTAAAACCTGCAGTAGAAGCTGTTCAGGTGGTCTGCTCGTTGGAGGTTTTCCACAGGGTGGGGGGATGGTCTCCTGTAGTTGGTAATGTCCTGCAGGCTTCTCCAAACTGACGCCGGGTCGTTGGCTGAGAAGCTGTTTTTTAGCTTCTCACTGTAGCCCCTCTTGGCTACCCTGATCTCTTTTGTCAGCTTGTTTCTGGCCTGCTTGTACAGGGCCCGAACCTTGCTCCTGTAGGCCTCCTCCTTGGCCTGGCGCAGCCACCTGAGTTTGGGTGTGAACCAGGTTTGTTTGTTTGTTGTTATATGTACAGAAGGTCTTGGTCTGCACACACATATCCTCACAAAAACTGATGTAAGATGTCACAGTGTCAGTCAGTTCATTTAGGTCTGTGGCTGCAGCTTCAAAAACACTCCAATCTGTGCAGTCAAAGCAGGCCTGTAGCTCCAGCTTTGACTCCTCAGTCCACTTCCTTACAGTCCTTACTAAAGGCTTAGAAGTTTTGAAATTCTGCCTGTAGGTTGGGATGAAATGGAGCAGACAGTGATCAGAGAGCCCCCAAGCTGCATGGGGGACAGAGCGATAGGCGTCCTTTAAAACTGTGTAACAGTGGTCCAGTGTGTTAGAGTCCCTGGTGGGGCATTTTATGTGCTGTTTGTATCTGGGAAGTTCGTGAGAAAGGTTTGCTCTGTTAAAATCCCCTAAGATGATGAGCAGGGAGTCTGGATGTTTTTTCTCCACTTTTGTCACCTGGTGAGCCAGTTGTTGTTACGCCTCCGTTACACATGTCTGAGGTGGGATGTAAATACTGATCAGAACAAACGAGGAAAACTCTCGCAGTGAATAAAACAGTTTACAGTTAATGATGAGATTTTCTAAGTGAGGGCTGTACAACTTCTTCAACACTGTGACATCTGTACACCAACCTTTGTTTATGTAGAAGCACGTTCTGCCTCCCTTCATTTTCCCCAAGAGCTCCGTGATGCTGTCCGCTCGGAAAAGTTGGAATCCCGGCACTCGTAATGCGCTGTCCAGGATGTGTTCACTGAGCCAGGTTTCAGTGAAACACAGGGCTGCAGATCTGCTTAAGTCTGAGATTTTATGAGTGAAGATCAGCAGCTCGTCCATCTTATTTGCCAGAGAGCCAGGCCTGGTTTTACGAGGGTGCATATGCATGCAATGCACCCTTATTTTATGTGTCTGCATGCTCAGTTGAAAAGAGTGAAAAAAAAATTAATGTTGACATAACAATATAGAACACAGTGATAGTGAAGTGCGTATTCTATTTGCCAGTTTAGTTTTAATTCAATGGTAATTAAATAAAATTCCTGCCTTTCTTCAGTAACATCACTGTCAACGCTGTCTGTCATGACAAATGCACGTGACTGCACGTCACTCATTTGCGTCCAGCGCAGTTACCGGCCCGACGGCTGCTGCACCAGCCGGACGCAGCTTTCTGCTGTACCGTTAACAGCCTGTAACACAAATAATGTTATCGACATCGCCATGGATATTTGAAAATGGTTCAAGCAAAACACGACCAGCAACAAGTCAGACAACGGTAACGATGGTGAGACAGAGACTTGACCTCGACGTGAAGTTAGCCTAGCTGCTGGGGAGCAAGCGGCAGCCTCATCCTGCTCATTCCCGCCCGAGCCGCTGCCTTCACCCCCAGCCCCAGAGCAGGTGCCCGGCTCATCCAAAGCACCACCACCCGACGACCTAGGTAAAGAGGAGCCATAAGACTCTATAAAACCTGCACCTTTTGCTGTGGTATGGCGGTTTCTGCCGGATGAAATGGACCACACAGGTTATTTTTATTTTATTTGAGTTTTTTTTGTTTTTGTTTTTTTTTAACAGACACAGAAAAACAAATAACAAAAATAGGGCATATAAACAATACAATAAAGTAGTTGTTGAGTAAGTTAGATGGTATGTGTCATGTTCAAAGGGGTAGGAAGAAGTTAAGAATTTTTCTATGTCCTACCACATTATACTGTTTGTGCATTTGAAATAAAAAATAAAATAAAAAAATTGAAAAGCTTCCGGGTCACTGAGCAGCATGGTGGTGTAGGAGCACAGCTCTCGCCTCTGCAAACATTTACAACTCTTTCTACAGTGTTTTATTTAATCAGCTGGCTCAGGATTTAATGCCTAACTCTACTAAAAGAAACAAAGATAATATGGAGCCATCTACTCCATCGCCTGCTTCTTATCAAGATGACAAAAAGCCGAAAACAGCCTTTGACGGCGTTCTTCCAATAGATCCATTCCAGCACACAGCTGATTCAGCCGCCGCCGTGGATGTCCTATCTATTGTTCTTGGAATTACCACAGCAGTCACAGACATTAAGGAGTCTCTTGAAAATATCCGTAAGGAGGTCAGTAACACCAGTGCAACAATCATCGCGATGCAAGGAGATTTGGTGTGCATGAAATCTAAGACTTCCAAGATTGAAACGGAGCTTACTACTCTTAACAATTCTCTCACAACTTTATCAAGCCGCACTGATTTAATCCAGGCTGAAGTGCGCAAACAAAGGGATACCATCGGCTCCAACACAGAAAAAATAAAATATCTCACAGATCGCCTGGCCGAAACGGAAGATTACACCCGTCGAGCTAATTTGAGATTAGCTTTCTTACCTGAGGGAGCGAAGGGGGGTGACGCCATCGCTTTTCTCCAGCGTCATCGATCAGTTTGGCTGCCCAGTCTCTCATCCCGTGGGATTATTGAGATTGAAAGACCACATCGGATTTATGGTGCTGCAAAATCGGATGGCAAGAACTTCAACAGAACACTGATCTTCAAACTTCTTCGCTACTCTGACAGGAAAGCTATCATGGATGCCTACAGAGCTGCTGGATCTTCTCTCTCATATGAGGGCCATAAACTACTCTTATTAGCCGACTACTCTCCATCCACCTCCAGGCTAAGGAAAGCTTTTGCCCAAGTGATGTCCGATCTACATAAGAAGGGCATCCAACACTTCCTCATCTATCCAGCGAAGCTGAAGGTGTCCCATAACAGCAAGCAGTTCTTGTTTGAAACTCCGGATGATGCTGAGAAATTCTTGGCTGAGCTGCAGTGAGTTGAACTACAGTCTGAATCCTTCCTATGTCAGGTGAACTTTTTTTTTTTTTTCTTACACTTACAGACATTCACAGACACTCACACACTGACAGACGCTAACATGATATGGTTATGGACATGCGCGTATACGTGCGCGCACTTCCAGTGGGACCAACGCATACACACAAGCTTACATTTTCTCACCTTTTCACTCTCAACTTGGGATCACCACATTGCTACAGTGCTCAGAAACGGTGACTTGATATGTTTGATCCCAGTGCTTAACTTGGTTTATGAATGGATAACATCATGGTGACAGTTACCTGGACTAAGGCCGCACCTTTCGTGCTTTTTGGACAATTTATAGCCTAGCCTCCACCTGCAGCTCAGAAATACCTAATTTGAATATAGAGGCTATTTTCTTTAAACTATTTTCTCTTTGGTGTCGGTCATTATAGAG